TGTATTAAAAACTTCCAGAGAGCACTTCTGGAACAATGCAAAAGAGCACGTTCTTCAAGGACTCGAACACCTGACCTCGTTCCGCCCACTAGGCTACCGAGGCACACATTTTGGCAACTCACGTCTGATTTGTATACCAAACTCTATTGTGCTTCGTACAACAACCTCCTCCATATCTCTGCTCAAAGAATTTCAGCAGATATGGAAAGCATTGCATTGCATGCATTGCATTGATTTGAATTCAGCGTCCGAAGACGCACCAGTACATCTTCTTTTAAATGGCCACTTCGACTAACCATCCATTCCTTGTCAGCATTCTTGTGATAATTTGTACTGTATGCTGGCATTGCTTTGTAGATGTCTGTTCACTGCTACCTACTCATCCTTCCTGTTGCTCTCTAGATCAGAACGAATCCATGCTATTTCATCATCATCATAGCCTCAACGTAATATATCTCTAGGAATCGAAGACGATCGTGCGGTTAGTGATAACCCACGCACTCGTGCTATAAAAGTGTGTTAGATCCCATCAGTTGAGTGTCATTTCCTACTTCGTTGGCGAGATGCCTCTCGTCTTTTGCGCGTTGTGCCTCAAGCGACCAAAAGTGTGACCTCGGGATTGCATATATCTGAAGGTGATTGACACACACTTACTTCAACACCGCAAGAGAGATTCTTCTGAGCTTCTGCATGTCAATAACTACATAATACGAACAGTACTCTGCCATTGATTTTCTGCTATCACACTTACCATGTACTACACGATGACCGAGATAATAGGCGAGATCTTGCGTGAAGAAGCAGAGTATCCATGTAGAAACCGAATCCTTTGGAAGGTCTATGATATGCACTGCACTGTACAGCATGGGATAACATGCACCCGCAACATGATGTTTACCAAATCTGAATTGTATTGGGATTTGCTTGATAGTGTCCAGACCAACAGTGGAAAGGTAAACGAGCATTTCGTTAGAAGCCTCAATTGTTATTGAAGTGCCTGATTCAGGCTTGCAACGAGAATAGTAATAACAGAAATCCCCATGGGAATTACGCTTTCACTCACATGTTTCAAGAGCAGTCATTTGGATTGGTGTAGTCATGATCCCTGCAGAAGACTGGGCATGCGAGTGGACGTGAGCTGGACTGCAGGCAAAGCAGACCTCCCCAGGGGTTGCAGATTCGGATGCCATCATTGATGGGAAGGCCGCCTTGGCAGAGCTCCGGTCCACAGCCGCTCACACGCCTTATCGTCTGCAGGCGTCATGACTGTAAGGATAGGCAGAATGAGGTACATCCTGAGTACGCACACATCGTTTTGCATTTGCCAGAAAGCTGCTGTATTTCTCGGCTTGGTAAAAAAGTAAAAGTAATTTTTCCTCTATTATTTCCTGGCATGTACCGCTCTGCCTCCTTCGCATGAAAGAGTTGAAAGAGCTCATATATCCATGCAGCATCACGGCCGCTTCATACCAATCCCTTCGCTTCATAATTTGCTTAGCAAATGAATCGATTAGAGCGTCAGGAACGGTCGTCCATTTGTGGGCGGGCGGGCGTGGCGGGCGTTTGGGACGTAAAGTTGTGGCTTGATAGGGCCCTTATAAGGGCACCTTCCTCGGGGAAACCGCTATGCAGCGCCTGCCCAGGGTCGCGGAATTCTATCCTGCCAGGAGTATTGATCCTAGTCGTCTTGGGGGATTTATCGTGCCAACTGCCTTTAAGGAGGCATAACGAGGACTTTCCGTTTCAGGGGAAGGGGGATCGTTTCGACACCGATACTTCTTCACACAGTCCTATGTCAACACCGGCTATACAGAGCCTGAACGTTGCGGATCCAATAGGGACTCCGTACGAAAAAGGGCGAGGAGTTCTTTACCAGAACATGGTAAGTAAAGCTAAGGAGTTTGGTGCTGAGTTGAGCTAGTAAATAAGATGTGTATGCCAAGAAAGAGTGAAAAAATGTTAGAAAAGAGCTGGAAAAGGACAACTGAGAAAAAGGAATGTACTCCAGAAAATAATACATTACAAAAGTGGGTAATGGAAGGGGAGATGAATAAAATCAGAGAGAAGTTGGTACAAGTAGGAGGGCCGTCACAAAGAAATATCGTAAGAAGGTGATAGGAAGGTATTAGGTTGTTCGAAAAGTCCTGCGACACTTTGATTAAATTGTTCTAGAAAAAGACCAAAAATCATTTTGGATGTTTTTATCCCTGATTAGTGGAGAGTGTCCTCTGGGGTTTCTGCACATGGGTATATCATGACTTTGAGGAAGTTTTCAAAGCTTAAAAGTCCCTCCAGAGATCGAGGTACTTCTCGACCTGTCCCATATTATGAGTTCCTCTAGGGCCACTCCGCCGTAGTCGAGGAAGCTGACACCTACGTTGTCTTGAGGAAGGATATCGCTTGCCATGGCAGAGGGTAGCTTTTGCATCAGCGCTTCTAGGCTGGACTTATTTAACTCGTAGTTGGGCAATGTATAGGTCGCCAGCACAGATGACGGCCCTTTACTCAAGCTTCTTGAGGCGCAGCCGAA